CCTTGTTCTTTGCCAATGCCTTCAGTACCTTAGAAACTCTCTACAGGGTTGCAATAAGTTGGAATTGACTCGATGGCACATAACCACCATGATACAGTTAGAGGGATGTTTTCAAGAGAGTTCATGGGAAAAAATTCTATTATCTTTGAATCCCTTTTCTCTACAAACTTTTTTTTGAAGCCACCTTGTACTCTGCTTACCCATGTTCTTGACACTTCAACTGTTTTCAAATTATGTAACAGACAATTAGAAAATATCGATTTTCATTTCAAACATATGTGACATTTCAAAAAAAAGAAGGCATGTAGGGTGGGGAGAGAGGAAGAGAAAGAATCACAATGCCAACATATTACAACTCAAAAAGATGCCAGGTCAAGCTACTTTCAAAGTACGTAGTCATAATAAAGCCTATCTTTGTATTTATTTCCCTGATTTACTTGGAGATGAAGAAGAGCGTCATGAAGTGACCATTATGTGCTGAATTTAAGAAGAAAATTGTGTATATACTATGAATCAGGATTGCCAGTTACTTCAGTGGGCCAAGGGAACTTTTTTCCTTTCCCAAAAGTTACTGTCTTAGTCATCTAAATTCCCCATAACATGGAACAAGGATCTATGGACACTTTATTTGGACCAAAGAACCAACGATATTCAGTCTGACAGTACTGCTATCTCTCACTATTGATGGGCTTCAAAAGTTTATATGAGGGAATAGATGAAGTTATCCCACAAAGCTTGGATGCTGCTAACATTTAACTAGTAACTGTGAGTGGCACAAACAGTTAAGCACTCAACTACTAGCCAAAAGGCAGGTGGTTTGAACCCACCCTGAGGTACCTCAGAAGAAAGACCTGGAAACTTCTTTTGAAAGATCACAGTTTTGTAAACCCCATGGAACACTCACTGTTCTCATCTGCACCACAAGGGACTGTGATAAGTCAGAATCTACATGGTTTTTTTGATGAAGTCCTGGTGTGGCACTGTAGGATAAGCATTGGACCACAAAGTTAATTTGAACCATAAGATGGTGGTTCAAACCCCCCAGCCACTCCTCAGAAACCCTATATAGGGTTGCTATGAGAACAGACTCGATGGCAGTTAACAACAACCTTAATTCTAAACAATTTGTCCTGGTGTGGCACTGTGGGTTAATGCGCCAGACTGCAGAGCTGTTTGAACTGCCAGGTCGGCGGTTCAAGTACACCAGCTGCTCCTTGGAAACCCTAATGCAGGGTCACTATCGATTTGATGACACTTAGCAACAACAACAACGTATGTCATTTATATATGTCATTCCATTCTTGCCTTTGTATTTCTCTTTGTAGGTAACTTTGTTTTTCCTGAGACGCTCTTGCTATGGACTAAGTCCTTCCCTTTTCATTCTAGCATAGATGATGAAAAGGAATATTTACTAACCTTAAGTTAAAATTGTTGTAAATAAATTAACAAAGCATCTGCTGTGGAAGCTTAATAATATAAGACAAAACCCAAGTTCAATCTCACCGCCTATGTTGTAAATCTTACAAATCTCTAGGGTATGATTGATATTAATTCATTCAACTATTCTAAACGAAACACCACAGGGTTTTGGGATATTATATAAACAATCCAGGAGATTCCCTACTAGATAGGAAAATCTAACCACAAGAAACTAAAATAAGTGTGAGGCAACGTTGAAACAAATAAATAAACCTGTGTACATAAAGTCCCATGTCTTCCTCAGCCTACATCATTCCCTTCTTTCTCTCAGCTCTACAGAGTTAAGCTCTGCAGTTTTCAGGGTTTTCCTTTTAGACTTGACTGCTAAGACGCTCAAAGCTAAGGTTGCTGCTGTTACAAAAGGTTAACTGCAATTCAGATTTTCTGGCTTACTTACTGTACTTTTCCATATTTTCATGTTACTTGGTTCTTACCCCTTGATTCCACTTTCATGTTTTTATGTGGGTGTGTGAATGTGTATGTCTTTTGAATCCAATCTCTTATTGTAAACTGCTTCTAATCCTTACTTGAAGTAGGGTGGGCTTAAGTTTTATGGAGCTCTGGAGGCACCAGGGTTTAGGCATTGGGATGCTAACCTCAAAGTTGTTATTGTTGTGTGCCATGCAGTTGGTTCCAAATCATAGCAACCCTGTACAGGGTTTCCGAGGCTGTAAATCTTTACAGGAGCAGAAAGCCTCATCTTTCTCCCGTGGCACAGCTGGTAGTTTCGAACTGCTGACCCTGAGATTTGCAGCCCGATTCATAACCTCTACGCTACCAGAGTAGTTCAAACCCACCAGCTGCTCTGCTGGAGAAAGATGAGGCTGTCTGCATCAGTAAAACATTTACAGTCTCAGAAAACCTATTCAAGCTGGTGATGAGTCTGAGTGGACTTGATGGCAGTGGGTTTGGTTTGGCTTGGGTTTAAATTTTAGAAACATACATACTGGTAACATTTTCTCATTATCTGGAGGGTGCAGTGGGTAGGACTAAGGAGTGATGGTTGGGACTGTGGCTAGATCTAGGGTACGCCCAGGACTATTTTATTGTTAGGTTTATGGTTAGGATTAGGGTTAGTAGTGAGGGTAAGGGTTAGGAGTACGACGTGGTCTAGTTTTTACGGTTACAGTTTGGTTTCTTTTAAATTTTTTCCCCTTGAAATCTATTTGATTTCCTCTTCATTTGGAAGTTCTATAACTACATCAATCCCTCTTTTTACTTTATAGGACTTTATTGTTGCAACTGTATCTTTGGTTCTCTATTTTCAGTCTTATATGTCTTTTTGACTTTGTATACTTCTGTATCTGGTTTGAGTCTAGACGATATTGTCATGTATGTTAGTCTCAGTTTGTTGTCTGCTGTTATTGGTCCTCTGTCCAAAGAATTCCCTTCAGTATTTTTTGTAAGGTTGGGCTGGTTTTAATAGATTGTTTTAATTTCTGTTTATCTGACAATGATCTAATTTTGTCACCATATTTGATGGACAGTTTTGCTGGATATATGATTCTTGGTTGGGAATTTTATTTCTTTTAGAGTTTTATATATGTCATTCCATTCTTAACTTCATGTTTTCTGCTGATAAATCAGAGCTTTATTTATAAATTAGTTCTCTTTGTAGGTAACTTTTTGTCTTTACTGAGCTGCTCTAAGGATTCTTGTCTTTGGCTTT